TTTTTTTTTTTTTGGTCATTTTGTGTTATATTTTTGCATGTATAGTATTTTATTTTCTGTTCAAAAGGTTTATTCATTCTTCCTTAAAAACAAACAGCACCTACTTCCCATTTACAGTCAACTTCTGATCACATGTTATTAGAGGAAGAGGAAGTGGTTCAAGTAAATAAAGTTTATGTCTCTTTCTTTGAAAAGTGAACTATAAGATCTCTCAGGAGCAAACTTAACTTCCTTCTTGAGATGTATCTCAATATCCATGATGACCAGTAAAGTGCTTAGCACATATTAAGAACTTGATAAATGTTTACTGACAGTAAGTGAATTATATAATATTAATTTGCTTTTATAAGCACATATGAGCTGATAGTGAAAGTAAAAAAGCTTTGAAATGTGACAGAAAACCAGAAAAAGCACATTTGAAAATACAAGTTACCTTGACAATCAAGAGTTGACTGTATTTCTTCTACATATGAAAACCCCCATAAAACATATATATATATATATATATATATATTTGCATCCACATCTGAAATCAGCCACTATGATATATACTCTTGAACACTGCTTCAAAGCAAAAGTGTCATTCTTGTCCTTCTTTCCCATCCCATCTTTTCCCATCTTTCTATTCCTAAAATAGTTTGGTTTATTTAAGATATGTGCTTCCTACCTTGTTTGTAAGTCAGCTATACTCAGAAGCTTACAATGTAATTGCATTTCTCCCCAACCTCTAAACAAGCAAATAAAAGCCAAAGATAGCTACAAACACAAGTTATAGAAAAGGCATATTTTTAAAAAAAATCATACATTATGTTAGTTAAGGAAAGTTTCCTCTATGATTATTGTTATGCCATTCACAAGGTAAGTGAGAAAAACTCAGCCAAAGCATCCTAAGAATTCTGATACCTACCTTATAGGACTCTTTGAGCATGTTCTGTATTTCCATAGTTAGAGAACAACAGTTTTCAGAGGAATGTTTTAAATTATAAATCTGGTCTCCATGTCACATTCCAAAAAAAAAAAAAAGGTTTCAGACAAGGTAGCTCGTTACCATTTTCCCTTTTCCAACCTCTTAACGGTCTAATTTACTTTGGTCAATTTTATTGCCAGTTACTGATTTTAAACACAATCCATTTAGACACCCAGGCAAACTGTGAAGTTCTTTAGAAGTAAAAGAAATCTTCCATGATTATCATCCGTTTCCCTGCAAAATCAATTTCATGATAGCAAAGCGAGGATTTGTTGACAGAAACACTTCCATGGTGATGAACTGCAACACCAATGCTGTGGGCTTGCATCATCATTAAATAAATTTGGATGAAAGCTGAGGCTGGTGATGAATGAGAAAGCTTCTGTTTAAACACATTTATCTTGGGAATCGGCAGTGACCCAACTGTATTACAAAATACATGATGGTCTAAATGGTTTTCAAAACTACTTTTATTTTTAAGTCACCTTGGGCTAGAACTTTAGAAGGAATGGCATACTTAATTTTACATCTTTCAAAGTAGACACTGATAATCCTGCTGCATAAGATGTTTTTCTAGATAATAATCAAGAGAGGGTACACGTAACATTTTGGAGGGTGACAAAAACTAGGAAGAATCAAAGAACAAAGTCTTTGCAGTACTTCCCAACCTTTGTCAGATAATGGCACAAAAAGAAAATATCCTTCCGCAGCACTGGATACAATGGAGAGGTAGAAATGAGCAACCGATAGGTTCCTGTTGGCTGCCCCAAGTGCTGAGGGGGAAGATCCATTTCTGGCACACCTATAACTAACAGAGTTTGAAAACTCTGGGCTATTCAATAGTTCATCCATTTGGTAAGGATTTAATTTCTTATGTGAGCCAGAACAATTCTCTACAATAATGTTAACACCACAGGATCTGTGCTTCATGATTATAATGAACAAATTCTCATTTCATCACATGCTCTACATATTAACTATTAATAGGCATCTGAAATGTAACATTACCAGAAGTTTACTGGACCTCAAGGAACCGAACTTCTCTTAGAGGTTCCTCTACTGGGAGGATTATTTTAGTATAATAATTCATATCAGCATCAAAATTTAGAAATACTTTCATACTCATAACATATATAGATTATTAAAAGTGTTACTAATTAAAATTTATGGTAAGGACAGCATCATTTCTGATAGAAAACATCTTCCTTTTTCCATAAAATCTCACATTTAAAAAAAGCATCTTCCCATTCATACGTTCTAGATCTTTTGTCCTTAATTTCAAAATTAAATTTTTCTATCCATGTGTGTGTGTGAAAGGTTACAGAACTTTCTTTTTAACTCATATATACTCACAGAAGAACCTTGAAAAGTAGGAGAAAGGAAGTGACATTGGAAAATCTTCATATGAAATATGTGAGAGTGAAGGTTTGTATTCTTAGAATAGGTCCATGGGAATCTCACAGAAGATAGTTTTTATAAACATCTGATAAAATCATAATTTCCTTTCATTTCATTTCATCTAAAGTCCCAGCTTCAGAACCAATTTTCATTTTACTCAGTACCTCCAATTCTTTAACTTTTTAAGCTGCAGCATCCTATCATAGATTTAAAAGACTTCACCATATTCTTCTGTCCTTTTAAGAACAGAGGCAAAAGTTTCCTTTAGGATGCCTCCGTTCTCTGGGGCACTGGCAAAAATAAAATCATCACCCGTACTAGGACAATGTGCATCACTGTAATTGGATCTTTACATATAAAGGAAGATCTCTCTCTATACGTTCAAGATGATGAAAGGATTACATAAATCTACTCAGGAGGTCTCTGCAATTACATCTCACATTGCCAAGACATCAGGCATAGGTCTTCATGACACTCAAAGGATAAAATTATGTTGCATTGTAAGATGGTCATAAAGGGGATATTTCATTAAAAATTATTAGGTTTCAAGCCTAAGGATTTGATGATCTTTATTGACTGAGGTAGAACTCCAGACAAAAGCATGGTTTTGGTAGCTTCTTTGATTCTGAATCTTTATAAAGTGAGTTTCTTTTGAAACTTGTTTGACAAAGGCAAGAAAAGATCTTTAACAACATTCTAGTTTACCTATACCTGGTTTCTATTATTGTTTTTTCGCCAAAAATCATTTTGCTTTATAATCCTAAGAGAAAACATAATCAGGCAAAAATGCATGCCCAAAACATTAAGATCTGTGTTTCTCAAAGTAAAATACAAGATACATGTTTGAGACTCCCAATGTCCCACCCAGATTCAAATTGGAATCTGTGAGGGTATGGCCCAGGAAGCTACACTTTTAACAAATTACTCTGCTGATTAGTATGCACCCTAAAGTAGTAATTTCATTATTTTAGAAATTCCTATATTGATAGACATTAGCAAATGTGTTCTGACTATAGTCCTGTTCAGTCAAAATAAATTACCCCTGTCCAAGGAAGTGTGACTGTTCCGCCCTCTGGTGGCTAGCATGACAAACAGCTCATTCCTCAGGTTTTCTTTTTATTCAGAAAAAAGCTTAATAAAAACTACCATTTTATAAGGTGGGAAGGTTCTTAGGTTTATAACTGTAGCAAAGCATAGATGCCTGAATCTTCAGTTGAGCAGTAGCAGGCTGTCTGACACCTACAAGCTGTTTCTCCCTGAGATCCCAGGCCCTCAATAACCCTACAGCATTTCTTGGGAATTGTCCAGAACACACATTAAAGAGAGCTGTTTGGATGAACCAAAACAAAGGACTCCATTCACCTTAGAGCACAGTGAGGCAAATGCCAAGAAAGAGCAAGGAAGATAAGTGGTTCAATAAAGTCCCCAACCCTAAACCGCCTTAAATTCATTTTCATTTAGATTACACTCCAAATCCTTTCCTTTCCAACTGATGGAACTTCCACTGTGCAGTGAAATATATCCCCCAAGGGCAACACACTAGGGGTAAGGAATCCTTGGGGAGTCTAGCCAGTTAACTGGCCAACATTTCTAAGTACTTTATCATTTGATAATGAATTAACACCGTTCATATGGCAGCACATTTAAATCTGTCAACATTCTATCAGGATACCAGTTTTTATACTTAAAATGGTGCTGTAAATGTACTCTGGGCTAACCTTTGGCATAGCAATCAGCTATCCTAGGGATAATCTTCTTTTCTTTACTTGTGGCTTCATTTTAAAATTTCACTTATTTTTTAATGAAATTATTATCAGAGAAATAAAATTTGTCTGATTAATTGAGGAAGTTTTTGAAAGCTTTTTTACTTTTATTTTAGTAAGTTCCTTTCTCCCTTATAGCCAAATGGTCCTATATGATATTTCTGTAACATTACCTAGGATTTTTTTTTTTTTTTTGCCTCTGAGTTTTGTTTTGCTTTTGAAAGCCTTGTCATCGTTGCATAACTAACAATGTATACAGGCCCTAGACCTACAAAGGCTGTCTCACTCTGTGCCATCCCTTAGGACTCTGGAAAGGTGGAATGGGTTCACTGACAAACCACTCATATGTCTCAGTGACATGCAGGATATCTTCTCTTCA